TGCTAAGATACGGAGATATATCACAGTAAGAAAGGACAACCTATCTGGGAATCGCGCCTGTGGTGGTGTGGGCCTTATCGCCTCCCACAATCATTCATACACTGCTCTCCCTTTGACGACCTCCCTTCAAACTGCGGCGGCTCAGATTAATTTACGCTTTTCAACCTCAGTATGCACTATTTATTTACCCCCACATGAGCATGTTAATCAGAGAGCGTTTAATAGAGCAGGTCCCAGAATCTTTTTTGCTTTTAGGTGACTTCAATGCCCATAGTACCTTGTGGGGAAGTAGGTACACTGATTCAAGGGGCCGACAGATCGTACAATTAATGGAAGATCATTCTACTATTTGTCTCCTTAATAATGGAGAATACACTTACTTTCATAAACCAGATTAGAACATTTCATGCAATTGATCACGGTTTTTGTTCTCCATCTCTACTACCTTTCTGCTCTTTTACTGTAGGGGAGAACTCTACGATAGTGACGATTTCCCATTTATTGTAAATATTACAGGAAAGTCAGTGATCTCTAGACAACCACTCTGATTGTGATCTTTTTGCATCTTTTGCTGTGCTTACTGAAGAAATGGTTAACGATGTGGATATTAATACAGCAGTAAAAATTATCTCTGATACTATTGTACAAGCAGCTGAACTCTGTATTCCGAAGTTTTCGACAATGTTCCCAAAGTTTCCTAAACCCTGGTGGGAACAGTGATTGTCATGAAACTTCGAGAGAGCAAAAGAAAGCTTGGCGTATCTTTCGCTGGTATCCAACAATGGAAAATCTTCTGGCCTTTAAAAAAACTAAGGCGAATGAAAGAAAAGTGAGGCGGCAAAGTCAGAGAAAATCATAGGCAGCCTACCCGTCCACTATTACCTCCTCAATATCTAGCAAAAATGTTTGGGAAAAAGTTCGCAAAGTCTCTGGACTATATAATGATTATTCCTTTTCTGTTCTAGAAAAAGACGAAAAGTTGATAAACACTGGAGAAGAAATAGCCGATGCTTTAGGTGATACATATGCTGCTGTATCTGGCAGTAGCAATTACTTAAAAGAGTTTCTGTCCACAAAGATCCGCTTGGAAATCGACTTTTCCCATCCTAATGTAGAATCTTACAATAAAGATCTCACCATATTTGAATTAAGAACTGTAACATCTCGCACTGATAGTACTTGTCCTGGTCGTGATGGCATAAGTTATTTGATGATAAAGCATATGCCCTATGGTTGTTCAGTGGTCCTTGTCGCTCTCTATAATAAGATATGGAAATAACAAATTTTTCTAACTACCTGGTGCAGGGCCTTTGTTATCCCCATGGTAAAATCCGGCAAGAACCCGAAAAATCCTTTAAATTATCGCCCCATCGCGCTCACTAGCTGCCTTTGCAAGATCATGGAAAATATGGTAAATTACCGTCTCACCTACTATCTGGAGACTAATCATTGCCTATCATTGCCTAAGGGAAACTTTTCACTTGACAATACCTTGTTTTTAGAAACCGCAGTACGCAATGCATTTGTGAAAAGAAATCATGTGGTTTCAATATTTTTTGACGTAGAAAAGGCGTACAATAGAACTTCGCGGCATGGAACTTTTCATGACCTTTACAGCACTGGATTGCGAGATAATTTACTCATCTTCATTCAAAACTTTCTGAAGGACCGCACTTTCCAAGTTAAGACTGCTTCGTTGCTTTCTCAATTATTTGTACAACAAGAAGGTGTACCCCAAGGTTCAGTGCTCAGTGTCACTCTTTTTATCCTGAAAATTAATTCCATTTTAAGAGAACTTCCTTCCACAGCGCATGGTTCCCTGTATGTTGATGATTTGATGATCTATTGTCACGGTCAAGATATAAGATACATTGAGAGATAGCTACAAATTGCTCTAAATAGAATCATAAAAAGCGGTCCAACAAGAATAGTTTCAAATTTTCTAGCCAGAAGACCGTCTGTGTGCATTTCTGTCGCAAAAGAAATCTACATCCTGATCCAGAGCTGCATCTTGACATCAGTTTATATGTCATCTGTTTTGAACCATCTCGGGAATTCTGACGCAAGCAGTTGTCCATTGATCTTCATTATAAAATAATGTCACAAGCCGAACATCCTGTCCGACTCATGACATCTGATCAGTACTGGCGTATGTACCAAGCACGTCCTTCATGTATCCCATCTTTTGATCTTCGCATTCACTCATTGAAAAACTCAACCTAAAAGATCTGCACCCCATAAGCTTTAACCTTTTCAGTATTGTTTCCTGGCAAGAAGTGAATATTCACCTACTCAATATTTTTGGAGAACTAAAGAAGACATGCGATGGAGGACGTGGACACCACCCCTCTAACAATATGGTTAATCGGTATAGCGCCACGTCCACCTTTCCCTAAATAGCCACTCAGAGGCCTTGCGGACGCCTCGCAAACCCAGCGACCGATGCATCCTCGAGGGCAGTCCAGCAGACCAAAGCGCCCCCCCCCGCGGAAAATCACCCCACACATCTACCCAGGCCTCGGTATTTATTGATTCAATAATACAGTACTGTGTGCATGTAAGGATATGTATCTGTGTATAGATACTTACGGCTTGCTTACGAAATCCTTGCTAATAATCTTTCTGTCATACTTGCAGATGCTAATAAAAATATACGCGGATTCAGATATATGCAGATATGAATATACAAATATGCTATATGCAGTATTATGCATATATACGCTGATACAGATATAAGCAGATACAATGATCTGCAGATGATGGTACCGTTATGCTGAAGCGTATGATACGAAAGAACGAACGGTGCATGAGATATGTAGGGTGACATAAATAAGAACATACACAAGGTGGCATACATAAAATGGCATACACGTACTTAGGAACATAACGTGTATAGTAAGTTAACATTACGAGATGGTACGAGATATACGATACAAGGTGCAGAAGACACTAATCTATGTATATGCCAGGATACATGATACAAGGTGCAGAATAAGTTACATGATACAGGATGTTACGGGATAATATATGCAGATGCCTGGATACATGATACTAGGTACAGAATAAGCTGCTACACTCACTTCCAAAAGTTAAGTTCGAAGATGTAAAATGCAAAAAAATCAACAAATACTGCTTTGATTGACACAAAATTCTGCAGGAAAGTAGCACATATATTTATGCATAAAACAAAATAAATAATTTATAACAGAAATGAAAACAATATTAAATTTTTGAAGTTATCAGATAATGATATACTAAAGTGAAACAAACAGCATAAAGTGAAAAAGGACACTAATAGGGTATGTGATTCCCCCCTCATCTGTATACAAAGTTTACACCTTGTGACCATGCTTTCAATTAGGTGTCAACAACCGCAAAATTAATCAATCACCATTCTTCTTGTAGAGCAGTGCCACAGCATACGCGCAATCTCCTGGTAGTCATCGACCTTCACTCTCCAGGTAGTCATCGACGATGTCAGCTCTATGGAGACATGTGTTATCGTCCATTAAATCAAAAGTAGGGCCAACTACTGCAGCATACAATCTCACAATGGGTTATAGGATTTCATCTCGATACTGGACAGCCGTCAAAAACCCCGTTTAAAGATGTGCAGGTCGGTACAGTACATCCCTAATGAAATCCCTGCCCACACCATAATGCTTGCTTGCCACCTCGGAATGCGTGATGTTTCGGTGATGTTTTGGGATTGATTGGCATGTTCGTTGTTCACGCCATATCCTTATACGTCTTGTCATCTGGCTTCCAGAGCAAATCTTGACTATCAGTAAACATGACATTGCCTTGCCCCAGTCACACACAATCCAATTGGCATGTTTCCCGGCACCACTGTAATCGTACCCCTTTTGATTGGGCGGATAGAGGAACACGAACTCGAGGTATACTCGGGCATACAGTCCACTCATATGTAATCTTCGGCGTACAGTAGATGCAGAAATCGCCTTACCAATGGATGCTCTTATGATAGATGTCACACGTGTGGAGGTCGCTCTGCGATTCCGCTTGGCTACAATAGCAATATATCGATCTTCCGCGGGGGTTGTAACCCTTGGGCGACCGGCTACGGGCCTTGGGACAACTGTCTGTGTAAATGGGAAATTACAGAATGATGAACGTCGATGAAAAGAGCAACATCTGTGATCAACTGTCCTGCTTCAATGCGCCCCACAGCACGCCAACGCTTAGAATCTTCCATTCGTCTTCTGGAAGTCATAGAAACACGTATGTCTTGAAAACAAATTGTAAAGTTTTAAATACCTTCTATCAGCACTTATAACTTCTGTAACCCTTCATAAAGCTGGCTTCTTATAAGAGTGCCCCTTTTGCATATTTCTTGACATGAAAGCGCGATTGGCGATAGCGGTCAAAATGGATATTTTCGTTGAAATACGCTGCCTGAAACTTTTCGCGATTACAATATTTCCTTTTTACTACTTTTTACTTCGTACAAGGAAGTAAAAAATTGGAAGAGTTCAGCGTCGGCAGAGCTCCATTACAAAGCTGCGAATGCAAAAAATAAATAAATAAACAGATGAGAATTATTTATGACATAGTAACACATGTGGTGAGTCATTTCTCCTTGACTTCTTTTTAATTATCAAGCATGAACTGAAAATTTACATGAATACCAAAGGAATTGGAATTTTGGAAGTCAATCTACAAATTTAATGCAAAGAAAAATGGGCAACAATTACTGCTTTAAAAAAATATTGTAACAGTAGTGCAATATTTTGCAGAATCTTTTGCAAGAGTAATAGTTTTGTGAAGTAGCGGAATATTTTATCTGTTTACTTTCAAATATTAAGGTACAGAGAGTCCTTTATCACTTACACATACGCTTTTTATTCCGTTAGCCTTTTATTCATCCTTCATTTTTTATCAATCTAACAAATAAGCGAAGAATTTATCGCCATTATCAGTTTCGGGATTTCAGTAATAGATTATTTCGTGAGTAAAAGGGTAACAATCTGCTTGACGTCTTCTGCTTTATTTTGGTAGATATTCGAGTAAATAACATAAAGAGCTCCTCTTTAAAGATAACTAAGAAGGATCAACAACAGGACTTTGTGAATCGCAACCAAAGTCTCAGCTACCTAAAAGAATAATTTATACTTTTCTTTCGTAAACGGTGATTTAACAGAGATAGAACATTTTCCTTTCTTAAGAGGATGAAATAAATTCCTAACAATAATTTTATTAATAAATTTGGGATTTCTTTCCGAAGTGTTTTTGAAGAACGCAAGGGAAAAGAATGAAAGCGCTTAAAGCTTTAGGCTTTGCTATGATATTTGCCGCAACTTGCGGAAGCAACGGATTTGCAGGTCTATCAGGAAATACTAAGGAACTTTTAAAACAATCACCACTGGAGCAATTTCTGGAGTTCCAAGATGTGGAGCAAGAGATAATGATGCTTCAAAATAGCACTCGAGACAGTAAGCATGTTTTTGACTAATTAATAAAATACTTAATTAAAATAAACACTTTTTAACACTATTTAGGTAAATAAGTTATTTCTATAATATTCAGTATTCATAGAAAGCTATTCATATAAACCTAAGTAACTACGCAAAAAATTTGAAGTTGGTTTTATATTGAAATTTTATTTTAGGGTAAAAAAATGCAATTTTGAGGTTGACAACAGGTGTCGGGGAAGAGTTAGATCAAAATTTAAAACGTTGTATTTAAGTTAATTGAATACAATTACATCTCAAATGTATTATTTCTACTGTTTCATGAAACTCTGCTAATATCCTGACACAGTTTCTGTATATACACCTACGACTTCATTTTTAGTCATATATAATCAAATATATTCAGATACCTAAAAATTACATTTGGCCATATTTAAGTAGAACTATGTAATCTGAGCGTTTTTTTAACCAAAATAACCAATTGCTACATTGAAAAATATATCATTTATCGTAATTCCATTTGTTATCTCAAAAGGAAGTCGGCCGCAATGGGCTATTAGTCTGGAAACGGGATTTTGAGATCCTTGATTTAAAATTTGGTCTATATGGAGCCACGCAAAAATAGTATTGTAATATATATTTTTTTAATTTCAACATAAGAACAATTTACAAATATAATACATTAAAAAATTACGTATAGTATTATTTTATTCTTTGGCATATTTCTCATTTGAGTGAATTTGAATTTTTAGTAGATTTGGCTGTCCCACCCCCTTTTTTTTTTTTTTTTTTTTTTTTTTTTTTTTTGTTGTTGTTGTTGTTGTTGTGTTGTTGAATAACTTTTGGACAATTTGTGATGTACAAGATCTGAATAAATGATTGTGATTATTAGCATGAAAAAGACATAAGTCCTTCTGCTAATGCTAATTTCTTTTCTTCGTCTCCATAAATTGTTTCTGAAGGAATTCCTGCATTTTGGAGGAAGATGCAGTAGTATTTAAATATCTTTATGTTCTGCGTCTCCGAGTGTTTTGAAATATCATTCTTCCAGCCGAGCGAAATAGAAAATTCACCATTACATTTCTCACATTTTCCCATTTGGTCGCTTTTTGTTTTTTTAACTAAAGTAAATTCACTTCTTAGATCAGCTTTGAATCTGCATCTTCTGTTCTTACTCATTATGTTAAAAATCTAAAGAAGTAATTTATTATAAATTTATAATTTATATTATAAACTTTTATTTATATATATTGCTTAAAACCACAGTAAGTAGGTGCATAATTACATGAAGATATTTTATTGTTAGTTTAAAAATTAAATTAATTTTTTTGTTATAAAGTAACTAACTATATTTTAAAAATTATTTAAATTTTAATCCTATAATTCTTTCTAAATAATAACAGTATTAACTTGTATTATCTTTCCTTTGAATTTGTCGTAACGTAAGTCGTAAGCGTCACTTTTCAAAAAAACCGACGCTAGACCTTTTGCCGCCACTATAAAATATAAATAATAACAGTACTGTCTGCTAAATTCAAGAAAAATTTATGTGTTTGTGAAATAAATAAATAAATTACGTACCTAAATTATCTGAATAGCTGATTTGTTGACATCACTTTATAACTAGTACTAGCACCAGTGCGATGTGTATCGTCTGAGAGACAGTTACAAAATGTTTTCGTCATTGACAATGCCAAAATTTGCCATTAAGTCCAAACAACAGTGGTTGATTTCTAACAACTGATCAACGATGCGAACTTTGATAAGCAGTTCTCGATACATTAGTTGTCAACAATTATTGTTATTATTAAAATTTAACATTATAAAATAAACAAAAGGATAGTGTAAGACACATATCCTGGCGAAGTAGCCACATTGCCGCCGAAAAAACCGTATTCTCCCACCGTTCCCTAGCTTATCGTGCATTCTTTCCAAAAATCGGGACTTTTTTAAAACGTCGCGGGACAAATTGTTAAAAAGCGGGACGTCTGGTCACCTTAGTGTATGTATGTTCTTCCCACTGTGAAAAAACGACGGTACCTAGGGCCATCTGATTTTGAATAATGTAGCCCTGATCCCGAAAATGTGCACCTTAATTTCGAATTTCATACTTCATATTATGGAAAAAAAAATTTAATGAATTTTTTATCTACAAACTGAACGATATAAAAGCGGCAACTCTGTACTTAGTAAAACATTTTTATCTCCAACGCGCGGGACTGTCTATAGAAAATTCTAAACATATGCTGCTATGATGCTTTTAGAAATTTTGCCATTTCATTCTTGAATGTGTTTGGCATATGTACGAAGAAAATAATGATTAATAATAAAGCTGAAAAGATAAAAAGAAGTGAGTTAGCAGGAAAAGTGCAATAGCAGACTGGTAGACTGCGAGCTGAGTGACAGCACAAATAAACTTTAAAAACCCCTTTTGGGCGACCTTTAAAATCTGTTACCTTTCAGATTTTGCTTTTTTTTTTAAATTTGTTTGCTTGCAATATTTAAAAATTTTCATTTTATCATATTATTTATTTTCATAAATTATTACCATAGCATACAGATTCTTTATTTAATTTCTTTAACTATAATAATATTTGTTAGAAAGAAAACCAAGTTCTAAATAAATAAAAAGTACAAATATTTATTCTTCTTTCTTAAGAAAAGATTTATAAACAGAAATTTATTTCTTTTAAAACGGCAAATAAATTAACCTTGCTTTATTTTTAATTTTCTGGTCAGGTATGTTTTTTATTAACTAGTTTGAATCCTTTTATCAGTGTTTACTGAAAGTAAATTCATTAATATGTTTTTATTATTCGTAAGATAGTGATCAAAATGCTTAATTTTGTAGTAAGTAAAAAAGCATATTGCTAAAATAAGCGATATTCTATTATTTCATGTTAGTGTAATTAATTAATTATCGATATTTGAGCTCTAATGTATTTTATTGATAAAATGTTGCGGCAGTTTCTTGCAAATGTGTCTGTCATGTCTATGTCTATGTCTATGTCTATGTCTTATCACTTAGTAAGAGGCAATCGACCATTAACGGCCTTTACCAATATATGATACTTGACTTTTAAATGCTTGAAGAATCGAGTAGTTGTATCCAATAATATGGAAGTACTTGTACACATGCTGTGCTAGAACTCAGAGATTACTAGCGACGGAGTCTGTCATGTCTTTATGCATCATGGGTTTAAAATAAGCTGCATATATCATAAAAAGGCCCACCAGCGGCCGAGCGGTAAAGACGCTGAACACTGGTAGTTCGGTCTGAGATTCGAATCCCGCGAACGGGCTGGCTGCATGGGCGTTTTCGTGGTTTTCCCCATGTGTAACGTGTATACGAGCCAGTTTCCCTTAGAAAGTCCTCCACGAAAGGCATCCCTCCCTTTAGGCAGATAGCCCTCGTGTGCTTTGCCATAATTAAATACACCACACCACCACCATATATCATAAAAGTTGTGGAAATAAATGTTGTGGAAAGTAATTTAAAGCGATTGTGGAAATTAACTCTTAATAACATTCAAAATTCGTTGCTAATTTCATTTGACAATGAATATTCAGTGCAATTTGGGGATATCTGCAAGGTTTTTCGTTTTCAATAACAAAATCGTTTTCTTTTTACTTGTAAAATACATTATGCCGCTATAATTCTAGATTTCCATTTAAATTCCAAAATTTGTGCAACAAATAATATATAAGCGTTAAAAACGTCTTTTACAGACTACAGTGTCGCCAAAAATATAACCATTCAGCAATTAGATATATTATATTATTAAAAAGTAAAATCCTCGCTTAAATTACAAAATGTGCTGAGTACATTCAAAGGTTTTAAATCGTTGTTTCTCAAGCAATGTCAGAATGGCTAAATTTGAAAGATAAATGAAAGTTTTTGTACTCCTAAAAATAAATGTTTGTCTTTATAAAATTTTACGGTTTAATCCGATCTTTATAATACTTGCCAAACTCGACCTACAAAACAAAAGAAAGGTTATTGTCTGCATAAAATTTCTCAAAGACCAGCCCATAGTGTCCGCACTCTTTATGTGCACATTGTTGCGTTTATCTTTTCTTCTGACACCAGTTGTTAAATTATTTTCTTCCCTCACGTTCGTACGGGGTTCGTGAGGATTTGGAGTGAATAATGACAATACTACTTGATGAAGTACCGAAACACACTTTATTGGCCAGTATTGTCAGGACAGCTCCAAAACACGTTTTTACAGTCGTCGATGAACTACTATAAACACGCTGACACGATCAGCGACACAGCCTCCAGGTTATCAGGCTATCACTGGAGAGGCAGCTTCACGGTAAAGCACTAGAGTACAGCTCCCGACTCTGCTTGGTCGTTCTCGGAACTCCACACACTCTCGAGACTCTCCACGCTGCAACTGGCGATGCACTCGAGATACAGAGCACTGCTCCCAACTCTTCGGTTCAGTCGTTCACGGAGCTCAACACGCTTTCTCGATGATGCACTAAAAGACGCCTTCGGTGCACTCGACGACCCACTCGGCACTCGCTGGCCGGCTACCAACTCGATCGTTTCCGCACGGACTAACTAGATGAGGCACTCGCACTCTAGACGAGACACACTCACTCGCCCTCTCGACGAGGTACTCTCGCACTCTAGGCGAGGAACACACACACTAACTGACTGCGGACCAGCAGGGCTTATATAGCTTTCGGTTTGTGTTCGAGAACATCCTGGGTTAAACCGGTAAGAATTCGTTCCAAAAGGTTCTCCATCCGTCAATGGTATATCGCCAATTTTGTCTCCAAAGGTCGCCAAATGGGCGATTTCTCGCCAAATTCGGCAATCCTGCCTTCCTTTGCCATTTTATGGCAACCCTAGGCCTGCTTTGCGGGGAAGCTATCTCATCGCGCCTGTACATTCGAAACAATATATTTGAGGCTGATTTAACGAACGTTTGATTAAAGCCTTAGCGATTTAAAAGCTTTGCCCTGTCACTCTGCAAAGCATAAAAGACATATTTTCAAATCTAATCAGAAAACTCGGCGGTATAAAAACATTGAGTTGCTATTCGGGAAAACACAATTACATTAATTTGACTCGAATTTAATCAGCAAACTCGGCTATTTAAGAGAAATATGTTGCCACTTTCCAAAGTAAATTATTTTGAAGTTTTTTATCCGTTAGCAAACCCTAAAAAATTCAGTTTTTCACGCATTAACATGCGCATCATTGCACCACACACATTTTCTTTGTTTTTTGAATGTGGCTTTGTAACAGTCATCGCAAAACATTACTTTCACTGTGAAATCAGTTATGGCACCAAAAACAAAATCGATTGCTCGATCTACACCTCAAGCACACGAAAGAGATAGGATGCTTAGTTATGCTGAGAATGCTTTTGTAGAAGTACATATTTCAAAATCCAGGCCAAATTCCAGACCTTCAGTATTTTATTTTTCAATGTTAAGGAAATGTGTAAATAATGGTAAAAAGAAGCAGGTGTACAGCTTTTCTCTCAAACTAGCTGAAATCCTTTTCTTAATGACAATTTTTAATGACAATGCACTGATTGAAGTGTAGTTGAATACCTCTATTAAAACTGTAATTCAAGTGTCAAATGCTCTTTTCAACTGATCCCATGAACTGGCCAGACGGGTTGAACAATCCCAAGAGAATCTAAAAAAAGAAATAAGAGATATTTTTGCATCAAGAAAGTCACTGCATCATGGGAAGGTAATCTGGTCGGCACAAGACAAAGAGCAACTGAACAAGGAGGTATCCAGGTTTAAGAAAGTGTGGCTTACATACGGAGCGCTGGGCTATAGAAGAATAAAAGGGTTCTAAAAGTGAAAGGAAGCTCCGACGTCACAGGTAATGCACCTTCCTACAAGCCCAAAGCCGAGTAGAATTCGGGTCAGGCTTTCGGCATTATCACGATTTCTGTATGCTCTCCTACTCTCTCTGTCAATTGTGAATCATGTGTGATGGCCAGTCCTAAGCCTGACTTATTGTTTTAGGTATAAGCCGATCTCCACTGATATTATGGAGCTGGTGTTGTATTGGAATTGACTGTTCTTTCAATCTGTATTTGGCCATGGCATTTGCGTCCGAATGGGTGACATTTACATTGTTATTGTTGTTGATATATATTATATAGAGCAGTTTTAATGCTTGAAAACATCGTAATATCACCCAACATGTCAAAGCTGTTATTATATAATTTTCCTACTCCAGCACTGCAAATCTGAAAAACTGGAATATTTTCTACTTTTAATTTTGTTTTACTAAACTTTTTTTTGACTAAAAATTTATTGTCTCAAGGTGTCATGAGTAAAATTTCCTTCTCTAAAATGCTTTCATCTTTGTTTTCCCTTTGTAAGATTCAAAAACCAAACACAAACGCCAAGTATACGAACTTCGCCAAATATGGACTTCGGCGCAGAGGCGCCAGTAAACATTTCGCCAAAAAGGCAGTTGAGTGGAGCGGAGATAAAGAGAGATGTTCCAAAGCCCCCTGAAGATAACAGGAGACTTTTGTGTGTGCGAATTACATTGCCATAGTCCGCCGAGGTTCTGATATGTAAAATTTATCTATTGTATTTTCCAAAGCCCTCTGAAGGTAACAGGAGACTTTTGTGTGTGCGGATTACATTGGCATAGTCCGCCGAGGTTCTTGATATGCAAATTTATCTACTGTAATTTCCAAAGCCCTTCTGAAGGTAAAGGAGACTTTTGTGTGTGGCGGTTTACATTGGCATAGTCCGCCGAAGTTCTGTTATGCAAAATTTATCTAGTGTATTTGCCAAAGGCCTCTGAAGGTAACAGGAGACTTTTGTGCGTGCGGATTACATTGGCATAGTCCGCCGAGGTTCTTGATATGCAAAATTTATCTAGTGTATTTGCCAAAGCCCTCTGAAGGTAACAGGAGACTTTTGTGTGTGCGGTTTACATTGGCATAGTCCGCCGAGGTTCTGTTATGCAAAATTTATCTAGTGTATTTGCCAAAGCCCTCTGAAGCCGCATAGCAGCTAGTTTCTGATAAATCAGGGCGCTCCTGTGATACGGCGTAAAGAAGGTGTTTGGAAAAACTTACAGTTTATTGGGGTCTGATTTAGAGGCAGCACTCCGAGCAGACGAGGCATATGTAAGAATGGGTCTCAAGACACATGTATAGATCCTCTCGCGCGAAGTCTAAAAGGGAGCCCAGATTAAGTAGACATCTTAATTTTCGAGAAAATCTAAAGGCTTTGCCTGTGGCAGCCGAAATATGTGTTCTCTACCTGAGAGTTTCTTGATTCGCTTTGTGTTCCCGAAGTTATTCATTAAGATTATATTTAGATGATGAGTTGTAAAAAATCGATTCATTTCAGTCAGCGAACCGTTCTGATCTGATTTCATTAAAAAGCGGTTTCTTCCATTTCTAAAATAAACTTGCCATTTTGAAGATCTGAATATATATATCTTGTTTGTTACTATTTTGAATATTCTTAATATCCATATTTTATTTGTTGCCATTTTGAATATTCCGAATATCATATTTTATTTTGTTTATGTGGTACTTACGGAAAATCTCGTCGACCATTTTTGCCTGTTGAAGAAAAGATGCCAAACTACGCGAATTGTCGCCAAAAATGGAAAACTTCTACAAACACGCTGGGTTTGGTGTAACCTTGATTATATGAGTTAATTATTACTCTTAAGTGATTCGTTTTTTTTTTTTTTTTTTTTTTTTTTTTTTCCCCTCTATCACGCATTTTCGAAAAAACTAAATGATTACAATTTGACTTCTGCCTAACACAGAAGGCATGCTGTTGAATGTTTCCAAAGTTATTCCATAACTAATTCCGTAACATAAAATAATTGCTTTTATAGTATATCTCCTTAATAAAAAATAACTGAAATTTTTAATGAAAAATTAAACGTTAATAAATGATAATATAATAAATTTGAAAGAAAAATAAGAATAGATTGTTTTTTCTTGTATTTAGTAAATGTTTTTTGTTTTGTTTTGTTTGTTTGTTTGTTTGTTTTGGCGCGATTGAAGCCGTCTCTTGTGGTCGACAGGATTTTCCCTAAGTACCGTTTATATTTAAACGAATTAAGCGATTGCAAATTATCGGAATTCTACTGCGTAATCTAAAATGCAGTTTTATCGATACATAATACTTATTTTAATATTTGTTCAACGTCTTCTAGAATTAAATTTTATTAGATAAACAATCAAAACTGTCAGCGTCACCATTACATTTTCTTTTGATAAAATGTCCTGTTTTGCAGATTGTGATTGTGGACCAAAAGGCAAAGGCTGCGAGTATGTGAAAGGGAGCAGAAAATGTATATGTGAAAAGGATTACGTCGATTACAAAGGAGTATGCCAAAGTAAGTTTTCGCTACGTAAATACATTATTGAGAAAAATATTAAAATCTCCATAACAAAAGTATGAATTATCATTTTTTACTTTTCGATTTTGGTATTTTCAGGGTGCTCGTGTAAAATACCTGACCAAATTTGTATTTTGAACTGGTCAGAACGTTATTGTAGATGCCCGAATGGATACGCAGAGAAGTATGAACGATGTGCAAGTATGTACCATTTTAAATTTTGTTTTTCAGTTTCTACACATACATACACAACACTCATGCATATCATACCACATACCTTAATAATCTCCATAGAATACTTGTCACGTAATCTTTATACGCAGAGATACGCAGAGAAGTATGAACGGTGTGCAAGTATGTACCATTTTAAATTTTGGTTTTCAGTTTCTACACATACATACACAAACACTCATGCAACTCATACCACATACCTTAATAATCTCCATAGAAATACTTGTCACGTAATCATTATACGCAGAGATACGCAGAGAAGTATGAACGGTGTGCAAGTATGTACCATTTTAAAATTTTGTTTTTCAGTTTCTACACATACATACAAAACACTCATTCATACTCATACCACTTGAACGGTGTACAGACCCTAACCAGACCTTTATTTTTATAGCCGATTGGCGTAAACAGATATTTCCAATTACAAAAATGCTTAAATGACGCAAAGATTCATGCTTTCATATTTTTAATTTAAAAAAAAAATGGTTTTTACGCATTTGTCCGGTCCCTCCGTTTATATGCAGGACAGTTTTGTATCTCTTGTAAAAAATAAAACGCAGAATTTTGTCAACTGTGCCACAAAAATTGACCGAAATATTTCATTTCAAAATTTGCGATGTCTCACGTCAATTCCAATTTGCATTAAGGGGTTAATAAATAAATTAGAATAATTTCAGGCTAATTTTTTTTTCTTTTAAATGCCCTTCGATGTTAATAGTGTCATTATGTATAATTTTATTATATTTGGTACGCCGGAAGAATTTTCTCACGTGTAATTAATAAATTTCCGAAGTTTAAAAATGCATTATTAATATTTTTATAAATTCTAATTCGTTTCATCTCATTCTTATCCAGGTTCTCATTCTCATTCATTTTATTACTTTAGAATCTGGTAATCGTAAAAAAAAAATCATTAAAACACAAATATTTTCCGTTTTTAATTAATGCAAGTAATTTTGCAAATTGAGCAAGTACAAATACTGAAATGTTTTATAGAACACGAATATTACAAGACTCCGTGAATAAAATCTAGATTTATTAACTATATATTCATCAATGTTTTTCCTTAATAATCTCCATAGAAATACTTGTCACGTAATCATTTAACAGAAACTTGTGTCTAATAGATATTTTATTTTTTGTTGCGTACACATGCAAAAATTTCGCTTTCAATTTGCGTACGGCTATGGAATATGATTCCCAATTTTAATATAAAATAACTCGGTTAATCTGTGTTTTTTTAAATAAGTGTTAGCTCAAATTAGTGTAATAAATTAGAGCCGTGCATTATATTTAAAAAATTAAACAATGAACAATCTCCATGAATGGGTGTATGTTGATTGCATTGTTAAAAAACAGCGATACGTAGAGACATCAAGCACGGATATTTTACGCGCGAGGTTTCCCTTTTTGTGATACTGCTGTTGAATCGAATTTTATGGTTTAAGTGCGAAGAATATGACACTTAGTAAATAAAAGCAGTACATAAAACGTTAAAAAACGCCTCTTTGGGCATAATATTGTTACGAAATGTAAAGACGCGGTGAGATGGCTTCCCCTCAAAGCAGTTTTAGGGTTGCCATAAAATAACAAGGAGGGCAGGGTTGCCACGTTCGGCGAAAAATCGCTCATTTGGCGACATTTGGCGACAAAATTGGCGATATACCATAGGCGGTCGGAGAACCTTCTGGAACGATTTCTTACCGGTTTAGTCCAGAATGTCCCCGAACACAAGCCGAAAGCTATATAAACCCTGCTGGCCTTCAAGTCAGTAAGTGTGCTTCAACGAAAAGAGAGTGCGTCTCTCATCGAGAGTGTGTGTGCCTCGTCTAGCGAGTCAATCCCTGCGGAGTCGATCGAGTTGACAGCCGGGCAGCGAGTGCCGAGTGGGTTGTCGAGTCCACCGAAGGAGTCGGTTAGTGTATCGCGGTTAGTGCATCGTCGAGAGAGCGTGTTGAGCTCCGGGAAAGACTGAACCGAAGAGTCAGGATCCGTGCTCGTGTGTCGTCGAGTGCATCGTGAGTTGTAGCGTGGAGAGTCCCGAGAGTACGTGGAGTTCCGAGAACGAAGAGTCGGGAGCTGTACTCCGGAAAGCAGATTCGGCTGCTTTGCACGAAGCTGTCTCCAACGTGATAGCCTGATAACCTGAAGGCTGTGTCGCTGATCGTGTCAGAGTATTTATAGTAGATCTTCGACGACTGTAAAACGTGTTTTGGAGCTGTCCTGATAATGCTGGCAAATAAAGTTGTGTTTCGATACTTCATAAAGTGTCGTCGTTATTCACTCCAAATCTACACGAACCCCGTACGAACGGAAAGGAAGGAAATAACGTAACAACTGGTGTCAGTAGTAAGAAAAGAGAAATTAGTACAATATAATATCTGAATCTTTCAATTTCTTCTGTGTGTTTTTTTATTTTGACTAACCAGTACAAAATGTTCTTAAAACAAGTACAGGGACTGAGAGCGTGTAAAATGTGAAATTATCTTATTTATCTGTCTATTTATCTCTCCTCGCATAAACGGGCGTTTGTTTGATACTGAATGAAAATACGGAATTAATGTTTAAAGAAATTACAGATGAGACTTTTCTTATTAAGGAAATAGATGAATCTGTATTATATTTTGATAGGTGGAGACTTATGGAGAGTAAACTAAAAAGATCTTACTTCTGGTACCCCGAAGGTAACTTTAATTGATCCATCTTTTGTTCAGAATAAAAGTTACATTATCCGAAGATTAAATTGCCTATCTTTGACGGTAACGTGAAAAAATGGCTAAATTTTGGGGGCAATTCCAAAAGATTGATAAAGATCCTACATTAGATAATGATAAATTTGCTTATTTGGCACAGGCTATGGAGAAGAATTCTCCCGCCGAAGAAATAGTTCAAAGCTTTCCGCCAACTGGCGGTAGTTACAAGAGCGCAATCGAAGCATTGCAAACGCGTTTGATAACAAGAATTACTACGGAGATTTATATTCGTGATTTGTTAACCCTTGTTATTCAAAAACAAGGTGCATACTCTTTAAGGAAATTGTATGATGAACTTGTTGAGAGCCTTGGAGATATTGGGAATAAATAGAGCCAAATATTGCGCAATATTGTACCCATTGGTAGAATCAGCATTGCCGAATGAAGTACTAAAAACATGGTAGAGACTTAGGTTTTCGCGTAAAGGATCAGAGGGTTTAACCGGAGAAAACGCTGAGTTAAAAGAAAGGGAGTCTGACCTTGAGCGCCTTTTATG